TTTGTGTTTGAATTTCAACAGGACTGCTCTGAATTGCTACTTTATTGATAAGTAAAAACAGATTCTTTTATGACAAGTTATAAAAGCTTATACTTTATCGGTTCCCTCTCCACCCTGCAATTACCTACAGGAAGAGATTGGTCATAGGTTCTATTTTATGAGTTTTATAGGGGCACATTCACCCCAGCTTGCATAGTATGAATTCCTGGAAAATTCTACAGACTGAAAAAAATAAGGCACTTTCTTTGGATCAAACATATTTCACCTCCATAACAAAACTGCCCCATTAACAAACTGCCCCAAATATTATGTTAAAATGTGAAAGATACATTTTACATAAATATATGTATAAGGCATACTAGACTAGTCTGTAGTAACAGAATATGCCCTAATGTTGCAAACTTACACAGTGGGCTGCACAGTGATATGAACCTAACAACAAAGACAACTTAAAATGTTGTAGAATAAGTATAGATTATCATATAGTCCAAAAGAGTCTTAGATTAAATTTTAATTTGAATGATTCAAATCAATATTTTTATGAACTAAGTTTAGTGTAATGGGAAAGCTACATCATGAACATCTCATATATTTTCAAAATCATAAAATATTGTAAAACATATTTAAGTTTACTACTGATAAAAGTTACATGACAAAAATTTATCAACCAAAAAAAAGAAAAAAAAATTATCAACCAGACCCTTGGAAAATCTAGGAGTGTAACTGCAGAATGAATTAATTAAAAGTTTGTTAAATTCAACTTATAACAATGAAGAAAAATGAACCAATATTTAAACTCCAGTCTAGGATATTTTAATTCCTAATAACTAATGAAATATTTAGATGAGTGGCAAAAGTATCCCATACCTGAGAATAATTAATCTTAATGAGGACAGGCTGGATTTTGCTTCAACCTGCTGTGACAGATGTGTAGGCTTCTGTGAAAATGCAAACTGTAATTTTATAAACTGCCAGAAAATCTATTTGTTAAAAAAAATTGTTCTCATTAATGGGGGTTGTGGGATCACTGAATAAAAGAAGAAGAAAGGAGTAGTACTAGTTAGTGTTACAGGTTTGGAATGTAGGAGCTTTACAAAAATCAGCAATTAATTACAGTAGCTGTGCTAATGTTGTTTGAATTTTAACACATCAGTTTTCACTAGAAGAGATCTGAAAACAATTCTCAAATCACTAAAAATTCTGCATATATTGCATGGCTTACTGTGTTTTATTTCTACCTGGAAATGTAAAAAGCTATGGGAACTACTATGCATCTAGCAGGTTATGAGCAGGTTTGTAATAACCTAAATAAGAACAAACATTTAGAGACTTCCTTATGCTAGTTGCAATTTTTCTTTGATTTGCAAATGAGTTTTTCATTTAAAGGAAATATGAGACTCAAGCCTGTGCTGACTTAACTATTAACTAACTTTTACACCTGCCTTTCAGGGTCAGACAATGACCTCTGATTAATCTGAGTCTGATATTATCCTTCACTTAACAGCAACTAGCTCTTAAAGTGGCATGATCTAATTATTTTCATATAACCTAGTATTATGATTGTCAAATGTCTTATTTATTTTTCCTATAATAGTAAACAAAGTATTTGAGTGAATACCATTCAGTACAAAAATTCAGTGTGCTAAATACCATTCAGGACAAAAAGAAAGCCACACATTTAACCACCAAATCTGAACTAGGACATCAGGTATAAAGAAAATAAAAGAAAATCTACAACACATAAGTAGGCAAAATAGGCTACCTATGCAAAAGAATGGTTAGGCTGCCAAGTCTCTCTCGAAACACTAAATACCAAAAGGCAAAAGAGGATCAATTTCCATAATATTCTGAAGGGAAAAGTTTATATCCAAATAATCAAAAACCCTGGAAAACTGTCTTTATTAAAAGATATTTTGAAGTATGTGGACTCAGATAAAACACTTCTCACGTTATACTTCTTGTAAAAATAACTTGAAAATGTACTCTTAGATATGAACAAAATTCAACTCAAAATGCCAAAAAAAAAAAAAAAAAAGTAGGGCTTATAGCCAGTTAAGAAGGTTTGATTCTTTTTGATGGAGGAGGTCATGCCATGTGAGGATATTCTGTTTACTTCTATTGAAGGCATCTCAAAAACACATTAGGTATTATTTATGTCAGAAAGAAAAAAATACCAAACAAAAAAATTAAACCTCGTGTAATAAATGAAAAAGAGAAGGAAACAAGTTAGAAAGAGAGTGGGAGAGAACACAAAACAAAGACAGAGGTGGTTTTGTTCTTAGGCTAACCTGTACTTACTTAAAGAACACTGTATCACATTATAGTGTTACAGGATCTATCTACCCTCCATGACCATGTATTTACTGAAAACTTCATTCCAACTTGGAATCTCAAGAAACACAGCTTTCTTCCTGTTACAGACAGAGGCTTGAGAAAGTAATTTTCTTCCTCTGCTGAACAGCTGTACTTAGCATCTAGCATTCTCCTAGACCCAAGCCATTCGTGGCGATACTCGATAGTCCGTACTTGGAGCAAGAGGGAAGTGGGGACTGGAGACTGGTGGTTAGGAGCAAGGTTAGGAAGTCACTGAGAGACCCGGCCCCACTCCCTTCTCTTACCTCCTCTTTAGAGAAAGACATTTGAACTTATAAATATCCTACTTTGTTAAATTTTTAGAACTTTTCATTTTATTTCTAAATACTTTCTTCTCTTAACCCCTTTAAGGGAAAAAAAAGGCACACACGTACAGTGAATGGAAATTAGGTAACATTATATTTCTGTGAAAAATCAGACTTTTCCTGTCCTGGGGACCAGAAGACATTGGGTATTGAATAGGCCTGTAATTCTAATTAGAGGTCATGGAGAAAGGGCCAAGGTTAACGTGAGCAAGCTGGGGGACTATATGGGAGTGAGGGACAGTAGAGGATCTTTAGTTTTAGTAAAGGGACAGAAGGAGCTCAGTAAAATGTGTCAAAAATGGAGGTTGGCTTAAGTGAGAACCTGGAGAACTAATAAGTGTGGTGTGCCTGTATAAACCAAGCATATCAAAACACATGGACTTTACAGATTGGAAACATTATCACTAAATTAGGAGCTATCATTTAACAATCCAACTGGAAAAACATGAACAAAAGATCAATAATACCTAAACTCTAATGTACTAGATTTTGTTTCTGGTTCTTTGGAGGCATTCTGAGATCATGAGGGCACTACTGCAAACATTAATGCCATTATTTCTCATGACTGCAAGAGAAGTCAGTTCTATTATTTCCTTATTTAATTAACATGGAAACCTACAATCTACCTGTGGGGTAAAACAAAAACTCTAGCGGCTCCTGGGTAGCTCAGTCAGTTAAGCCTCTGACTCTTTATCTCAGCTCAGGTCTTGACCTCAGGATCATGAGTTCAAGCCTCATGTCGGGGCTTAAAAAAATACAACTCTGCCAGGTTGCGCTTTTCTGAGTTCTAAAATGCACAAGAAACCAACAAAACCAGAAATGTAAACACAGGTGCTGTAGGAAAGTCTATAGAAATAAAATGAATTTTAAAAGAATGTAAAATAACCCAGCAAGTATCTTTTTTCAAATACACTAAGGGGTTCCAGTTCAAGAGTGAAAGAGGAAGATCCTCGACCTACCTCCCTACACAGACACATAGAGTCTGCAACTACATATGGAACAAATATCCTCCTAAAAAACCTAAAAGTTAGCATGCTGAATGATGACTGCACCTCAGGCAAACAAGGAGAAAACCACATGGAAGCATGTAGGAGAGCATGAGGTACAACTTTGCCATAAACCCCACTCTAACAAAGCGACCAGCAGCTGTGAGAAGTAAAACATGGAGTTTCTCCCCAAGCAAAGGGTTCAAACCACACATCAGGCACCTCAACTTTCAAGACCTACACCTAAGAGAAAAGAAATTATTTTCCTTAATTGCTAGGCCTTATTTTTTTAAATATCAAAGCATACAATTTACATAATGTTATGACTACTTTTTTAGCATACTTACTAAAGTATAAGTGCAACACACACTATAGCCAAGTACTTTTTATGATTATAATGGTGTTTCATTCCTCAAACACTACTCTCTCCCAGAGCTCCACATATTAAATCATCAAACATGCTGACTCAGTGATGTGAATTATTCAAAAGAGAAAATGGAGCCAATGTGCCAGTGAGGAAAATTTAATCAGTAAGGTTCAAATATTGTTTAATATTTGTTTAATATTATCTTCATTTTCCTAAAAAATATTACCAACTCTAACAAGAAATGATGAATTGTATGGAATATCTGAAAGATTTAATGTACAGAAAGGATAAGAGAAACAAGATTATGCTTGGTGAAGAGTAAGATATATGCTAGAGTAAGATATATGCTTATCATCTTATGAGTCTTTCAAGTAGGAACCGGAAACTGATACATATTTCTTTCAAATGTAATTGTTTTCTTTCTACATTATCTTGTATAATTATTTTTAACATAGTATATAAATAGGTACTATAATGGTTAAATGCCTCTTGCTATCTGGCAGTATAGAAGAGGGATAAAAAATTTCACTTCTAAAATAATAAAGAAAAAAAAAAAGCATAGTAATCCATAAGAGAAATGAAACATAATGGCCTTCTTTCACAAAATATTCACTCTAAATAAGGATGCTAGTGCACAAAATAACACTCCTTTTAAAAAGAGTGTAAATCAACTTGCATAAAGGTTTACATTAATTTATTCAAAGTATGAAGTATTTTAAATTAAAAATCATTCTTATTTATAACAATATAAACAAATACCTGTAAAAATGACTTTTTTTTCCTATATTTTGGCAAAAATTAGTATGTTTTCCTCATTAAATAAGAAAACATGAGGTTAATTTTCTGGAAGGGATATAACTTTTGGCAAAAGGGTGATTACAACTTTTCTACAATGGAATTCTGTGTCACTATAACCAGCATCATTTTGTAGCTTATCCGTTTTAACAATGCAGAAATAGACTGCCTTACCGTTGGTGCTGTATCTACATGATGGTTACAAGGCTTTCTTTCCATGCTGATAATCCCTATGAAAAGAAAAGATGGTGTGAATATTTGCTTATTATAGTTATCCATTTTACTTTGAAAACATTTAAGTCAGTAAGAGGTGACCCCTATAGCTTACAAGAAAAAAGCCTCACTTGAATGGCAGGATCCTTTAAAGACTTATCATAAATTCTTTGGTCAGAAACAGTTGGAGAGTTTAGCTAACTAAGAGACCAAACTCAGAATGAGCTGAGCAAATTTTCTCATTCAAGTGGTGTTTAGCAACAGTGCAAAATGCATCCATATCCTGCTCTTGGCTCAAAAATTATACCATTATCTCCACTCTGCTGTGTTTTTTCCATTAAAGTTTTATTTCTGACTTGAGGTCGTCAAATTTTCATAAAGAAATATCACAAAGGAATCACTTTCTTATTTTCTCAAAAAGAATAAATAAATCTACCTGAATTTCTCTTTGATCATTTGACTTCCTATCATGCCATATTCTATTTATTCAATCATCATGGAGCGTCTGAAAAAAAAAAAAAGTTCCCCCGATTCTCTCCTTTAAAATAATACTGACTGCTAAACTTCAGAAAAATCCTTTTATCATGTGTGGATTTATCTTTTTGTTCCCAATATCCTCTAACACATTTCTTTGTCAGAAATAGCTTTTAAGAATATAACACACTGCATCTCATCTATTAGAACACTGGTTCAAAGTTTAGCTCAGGTTAAAAATGAACACAGGTGTGGATCTCATTTACTTTATAATCTCTGTCCATCAGCAAACCAATATGTGAGTTAGGACATTAGAACAGTTTGTTCAAATAATGGTACAGGCCGACACATGCAGGTCTGGTTAGAAGTGAGAACTTTAATGTACTGTTAGCAACAATTAGCACAATTTCTAGTTGAAACAAACATTAGCTCTCTCATTTACAGGCATTTAAAACTCATTTTTCTTCAGGTATCATAAGGGATTAAGTGAGAGTATCACAAAACAATCACTTTTTATCACCGTGCAAGAGTATATTAAAAATGAACCAAGTACCATAAAACATGATTTAAAAAAACATAGTTTTTGTTTCATTTAAAAAACTCTCTCAACATCTATTATCAGCAAATGAAGCATAAATACTACCTATTCAATCAAGTAATATTTACTGAATGGCTATTTGGCATAAGTGATAAAAGATAAATTAGAAAGGATAAATTGTAATTTCTGACCTCAAGACTTGAGTAAAACAGGGATGTTCTTTTTAAAAAAAAAACTACAGGACAAATTAAAAGTCTTAAGAATAAATACAATCTTTACAGTGATTTTCATGGAAAGACACATTTTTATTCATAGATTAACACTGGCCTTGAATAAAAAAAATTTTAAAAACCCCGAGGAAACATTAAAAAATGTTGAGATAATACTGATCCTTACTGTGAGAGTTTTAGTAATACTGAGGTCTATGGAACAAACGGTGAAATCCCTACTTCCCAGCGCCCACACTCCCACAACTCTCTCTGGCTGCATCCACTGAGAATAGTCTGGCATACACTGGCTTTTAAATGAGAGTGGTCACACCATGAGGCTCAGGAATTTGCAACATTTTACACGTGTGTTTTCACTATTGTAATCCAACTGCTATAAAATTGAGATACGCTGATTCTGATTTTAAAATTCATATCCAACTAGAAAATAACTTCAACATGTTGAAAATAAAAAACTAAACCCCTCCCCTCAATGGCAATATCCTCAGCTTATATAATTACAAAGAAAAAAACTACATAACTTACATTTCAATTTCAGGATAAGAAGGTGGTAATAACTAAAATTTTTAAAGATGGATTACCGAAAGATACAATTTTAGTTTTAAATTTAGATTGCCTATTGAGATAATATCATTTGGAAATATAATCATACATGTTTATTCAAGCTTTTGGTAAAGAATATACAGAACAGAATAAGCTTAAGAGAAAACATCCCTTAACAACATTTTAAAGTAAATTTTACCTAAAAAAATCTCTTTGTATGTTATTTCACTTTTATTAAGGTATGATGATAAGTGAAATCTCATAGTAAATAAGGTATGATGATAAGTGAAATCTCATAGTAAATAAACCACTCTGCTAGTTATTTTTCTGTGTCAGCTTGGCTAGGCCACAGAACCCAGGTATCTGGTCAAACATTTCAGATGTTTCTGGGAAAGTCTTTTTTGGATGAGATAAACCCTTAAATCAGTAGTCTCTGAGTACAGTAGATTGCTCTTCATAATGTGAGGGCTTCATACTCGGTTGGAGGCCTTAAGAAAAAGACTGACTTCCCTGGAAAGAGAAGGAATTTTGCCAACAGACTGTTTTCGGACTTGAACTGTAACTCTTCCTGGGTCTCCAGCCTAACTTTGCAGGTTTTGTTTCGGCCAGCTTCCAGAATCATGTAAACCAATTCCTCAAATGAAATCTATATACAACATCCTATTAGTTCTGTTTCTCTGGAGAATGCTAATACACTTAGCTTCTGGCAAACAGTAAATAAAATGTAAGTATTGTTTATATTTATTCTAAATTAATTTTTTGTTCACTAAATATATTAACTGTGCAGTAATAGTTAAAAGGTCCAATTTATTATGGATATTTTAAAATCAGAATACTTCAGAATGAATTTAAGAATATTACATCTGTAAGTAAATCAATCTACCAAATAAAAAATCCATCTGTCAATAAACATTTACCATTACACTGTCCAGTCTGACAGTCTCTGCTTTTTAATGTTTATTTATATTTAATGTGATTACTGATATGGCTGTGTTGAAGTCTGCCATCTTGCTGTTTCATTGCATCTATTTCTGTTTCTTCCTTTTTTTCACATTTTTTTGAAGTAATCAAATACTTTTACTATGCCATTTTACATACCCGATGGCTATATTTTTAGCTATATTTTATATTTTTTATGGTTAGAGATTGTATTATACATCTCTAATTTGTACACCCAGAATTAGGGTTTTCTACTTCACCAACAATATAAGCATCTCAAAACAGTATTATTTCATTTACCCTTCTACCCTTTTGCTACTGTGGTATTTTATCTCTATATGTTACAAATCCCACAACATAATGTCATGATACTTGTTTTAAACAGTTGTTTTAAGAATGAAAAAAATAGCTTTTTATATTTATACATATATATATTTTTTAATTTATACATATATTGATAGTGTTTTCATTCCTTCCTGCAGATCCAGGTTTTCATCTGAGATCATTTCCCTTTTGATTCATAAACCTTTTATAGACTGTGGGTGACTTTTTTTTTTTTAAAGTCTTCTGCAGGTATTCATATATGAAGGATATATATATTTTTTTATTGGAGTTCTATTTGTCAACATATAGTATAACACCCAATGCTCATCCCGTCAAGTGCCTCCCTCAGTGCCCATCACCCAGTCACCCCATCCCCCCGCCCACCTCCCCTTCCACTACCCCTTGTTTGTTTCCCAGAGTTAAGAGTCTCTCATAGTCTGTCATTCTGATATTTCCCACTCATTTTCTCTCCTTTCCCCTTTTGCTATTTTTTATATTCCCCATAGGAATGAAACCATATAATGTTAATCATGAATCATATTTTTGCTAGGTATTGAAATCTAGGTTGATGGCCACGGTCCTTCAGTACTTCATTGATTTTATTGCATTATTTCTTATAAGGATGAAGGCATCAATTCTTACTGTTTCTCTCTGGATGTGACACATTTTTCCTCTGGCTGCTTTTATGATTTTTTCTTTAGGTTTCATTTTCTTCAGTTTAATTAAAATGCACCCAAGTGAGATTTTATTTATATATATCCTTCTTGTGGTATGTCAAGCTTTTTATATCTTCTACATTAATGTCTTTTATTAGAGTTGGAAAATTCTTGGCCCATTATTTCTTCACCCTATATTCTCTATTTTCCTTCTGGAATTCCAATTACATTTTTTTTTAAGATTTTATTTATTCCTGAAAGACACAGAGAGAGGGGCAGAGACATAGGCAGAGGGAGAAGCAGCCATATGCGGGACTCGATCCCAGGACCCTAGGATCACGCCTTGAGCCAAAGGCAGACATTCAATAGCTGAGCCACCCAGGTGTCCCGCAATTACATTTGTTTAGACAATCTGATGTAGTCACAGAAGTCTGATGCTTTGTTATCTCCCACTCCTACCCTATGCTTCAATTTGGTAAGTTTTTTGTTCTCTTTGAGTTCACTGATCCTTTCTTTTAATGGGTAATATCAGCCATTAGGCCCACTTAATGAAATTTTCATTTCATCTATTATACTCTTCAGGTATAGAATTACTATTTCTTTTTTACAGTTTCCATTTCTCTGGTGACATTCTTCATCATACTCTTCTTCATACCATTCTTCATTATACTTCAAAAATTATTTAACATAGGTATAAAGGTTATTTTAAAGTTCTTGTCTGCAAATTCCAACATTTTGACCATCTGTAGTTTCCTTCTACTGGCTATTCTTTTTATTTTTTTAAAGATTTTATTTATATATTTATGAGAGACACAGAGAGAAAGAGAGAGGCAGAGACACAGGCAGAGGGAAAAGCAAGCTCCATGCAGGGAGCCTGATGTGGGACTTGATCCCAAGTCTCCAGGATCACACCCCAGGCTGCAGGCAGCACTAAACCGCTGCGCCACCGGGGCTGCCCTGGCTATTCTTTCTCATGATTATGGGACACCTATTCCTGCTCATTCACATGCTTTATATGCTTTATATTTCTGACGGTAGGTTAGATCTGCTAGATGTATAACTGGTAGAGAACGAAAGAGGAAACAGGCTTCCCCAGAAAGGGCTCACTCCTTCTTCTTAAAAGCTACAGTAATGTATGGATCTTTGTGTTCAAATCTGGAGTAGGCATGGGTTGGGGCTGGGCTGTTGCTTTAATTTCAGGATATCTATCTATTAAATATCCAAAAAAATAAGATCAGTTTCTCTCTCTAGAACTTCAGAATTTAAGCATCTAGAGAAGAAGGGAACTCTCTTCTCTGCCTTTCCCATTTCCTATG